GACTGACATCATTTGTATTACTGTGCAAATCAGAATCATTTTTTTCAATAAGCTTTGAGTTTATTTGGTATTCTACAGAAGAAGATAAATATTTGAACAAATTTTCAGGAAGTTTCGGTAAATTTATTTCTGTATATAAAGGATTGTTAATTTTAAGCCAATTTAAAGCCGTAAAAACTTTTTTTATATCTACCAAACTTTGCCATACTTTTTTGTCATTTGACGGAAGTCCATTTATTAAAATATATAATTCATGATTTTCATTGATTGGCGCTGTTGTGGAACAAATTTTGTTTCACGTTTCCTCTAGTGGTAAAGGTAAATGAAATGTGACACCTTTTAATTTTTGTACTTTCATTCGATTCGGTAATGCTTTTTTAGATACTGTTCCCATTCTTTGTACAACTTGAAATGCTTTCGCACGTTGTATTAAAAGCTTTTCGTAGTCATTTAAACCAGTCATTTCGTTCGGAATATGTCCTATATCTAAATGATTCATTATACAAGTTGGTGGACATTGATTTTTACGTAGTTTATCAAAACAGTATTTACATATGTAATCGGTATCTATTTTTGAATTTGTGTCTTTTAAATACTTTAAAAGACTCTTAAACAATACATTTTCTAACATTTGTTGATTAAGTCTATTTATATCTTTGGTATCACGTCGGTAACATAATTTTTGACAACAAACACATACAAAACGAGGTGTATCTGTTGATCTTGTTGTAAGAGCAATAAAAGCTTTTTTGTAATCATTCATAATTTGAGTCTCGTTTAAGCATATGAAGTTTGTCTTTTGCACATAAATATGGCTATTCTCTAACATATTTTCATAAGTTTTATCCAAAAAATGATAATTACCATCATTAAGAGCTTGATCTAACTCAATTAAACCATGTACGATTATTCTCATCGTATAGATTAATGATTTGATAGTTCTCACTGCTGGATAATGAGGTGATAATATTACTACACTTACAAACAAACAATTACAAAGTTCATAACATGAGTAACAATGTTCGAAATGACCATGTTTTCCAGAATTGTGTTGTACAAAAAGTTGGTCGAGAATTTCATAAACATTGTTAAAAGTCAGAGTTTTCATCTTTTTAAGAAAAGCTACATATGTTTTCATTGTATCAACAATGCATCGATTCCGTGTATTTATGTATTCGTCTACAGAGTTTGTTTCATCACTTTGGAATATTTGATCATCATGCTTGATGTAATACATTTTACAATTGTGATCACATTTCCATTTAATTGTATCATTATTGTGTTTTTTAATTGGTAAAATACTTGTAGTTCGGCCCCGATTATCAATAATAATTTGTTTATTGTTTATAAAAGAATATGCTGTATCATAAAAGTAAGCCTCTGTCGTAGAGTTGTGAAGTGACCTACCACATAAATTGCTCAATTTTGTATCTATCGTTTTAGAAGTACGATATTTCGTGTGGAAATAATCTGACTTTTCTTTAAGATTTCTTATGAATCTCCGAAGTTGACTAGCATAGACACTTCGTTGCGAGAAACACCAATTAATTATCCGTTCGGATAATAACCGATTTTCGATTGGATCGTTAATTGATGAACTGTCATGATCAAGAACATCCTGCAATTTTGTTATATAAATTTCTTTATCAAGTGTCGCACGAATTTTTCTCGATTGGAATAGAGATTTCTTATTTCTATCCATAGTGATTGTTTTATTTGATTTCACTACAACCGGTAATGTTTTATTTATCAGTTGTCGGTCACTTATAACAGTATTTTTAAAATTGGACAAATAAATATTGGAATTTGATTTCTCATTATCGTTTGTCTTTTTCATACACACACTCTTTTCTTGTTCAGAACGCTTCACCTGTTGGTAAAGTTTCCTGTTATCATCATTGTCTAATTCATCGGAAAATTTTCTCTTTTTATCAGGACGTTTATCTGGAAAAACTTGTGAGTTTTCAATGTTTTTCATATCATTTTCTTCAATTGACATTCCTGATGTATTATTATCGAGTGTAGGTTCATCTGCATTCTTAGATATCATAAATTTTCTATCGGAATATTTCGGCTCAGATGTTACATGAGAATTGTTCTGATTAGTGACTTCATAATTATTCAATTGTAAACGTTTGAATCGCTTTTGGAGCGCCATTTCCTCATTTTTATTGAGCTTGTCTGAAGATAATATTTGTAATTCATTATGTTTTTTATCTGTTGCTGGGAAATGCGTGATAACTCGTGATTCAAACATCTCTAATAAATGTTGTCGCATTGAATGATGATAGTAAATTAAATTTTCTGGTTTCTGATGGAATACAATTGAAGTTGCATAAGCAATTGCGAATACTCCGCAGTCAATCACATTAGGTTGATATTGCACTTTTAAGAAATGAATATGTTTTCAATCTTCAAAATATTGTGGATATAAGGATCGTAAATAAAGTTCTTGATCTTTATCTAGTGTTTTATTGTTTAACGAATCATATACGTAAATATGACGGGCATCATAGTAAGAACATATCCAATGATCACTCTGACGACTGTGTATTATTTGTATATGTTTTTTCCATGACTTTATTGGTACAATTTTTTCAGGGCACTGGATCAACACCGTGTCTTGATGATGAAAAGTAGTCTTAGATTTTCAGTAATTATTTTCTTTGAAACATCATCTAACAAGGGAACTTTAGATATTTCTGAATTGTTTCTTTTACACGATTTTTTATATGATTTTATCTGTTTATTTTGATCTGATAGTTCTTTTTTAGTATTATGTGCAGACGATATCTTTAATGCAGTTTTGAAATCATTATCATTATTTTCAAATGAATTGTCGGTAGCACTGGTATGTTTTATCTCATTAGTAATTTTTACATATTCTGATTTCACATTAGCAACTAAAAGTACATTACTGTTATTACTTTCAATTTTGTAACTTGGAAATTCAAGGATTGTACGTGAATTTAAAATATTCAACAGATGGTTTCGCATAGACTTTACATCATAATTCAAATGCTGCGGTAATTTTCCATGAGCTAGAGAAGTTGCGAATGCGATAGCGAACACGCCACAATCATACGAATTCATCTGTTGTTGAACATCCGGAAATTGAATCGGGTTCTGATCAAATGAATAGAAAGGATATAAACGTGCTAAATAAGCTTGGAAATCAGGATGAACTTCTTTCGAATTATATGAATCATAAATGTAGATTGATTTTGTATCATAATAGCTACAAACCCAATGACCACCAAGCATCGATATTGCAACAGGATCATGCAAAGAAACATCCATTTTATGCAATAATTGAATATGATTTTTGTGCTGAGGTATTGGTTCAATTCCATTACATATCTGTAGGGCCCATGATTCACGAAATTCATACCCAAAATGTTGATGTAATAACTGAGCAAAATAATCAATATGATCATCTTCTAACCAATTATTATTTAATATAATATTCTGCAATCTTTTATCTAACATCTTCGTTGCGTGTCTTAATTATAAAAATATATTATAGTTATAAAAAGGTAAAGCAATTAAAGTTTTGATTTCAAAGTTTTATTTCTTACAAATATACAAATTTTTATTAACTTAATTATATTTGAATTGATAACAATAATAACTTAATATAAAATTTTACAGCAGAATAGAATAAATATATCAATAGTAATGAATTCAATCGCACAGCAGACTAGAATTCTCTATAATAATGAATAATAGAATCCAATCGCACAGCAAACTATGATTCTTTTATAAATATTGATATAAATTTCAATCGCACAGCAGACTAGAATAATTATTTCAATCAATAGTAATGAATTCAATCGCACAGCAGACTTGAATTCTCTATAATAATTAATAATAGAATCCAATTGCACAGCAGACTATGATTCTTTTATAAATATTGTTATAAATTTCAATCGCACAGCAGACTAGAATAATTATATCAATAGTAATGAATTCAATCGCACAGCAGACTATGATTCTTTGTAAATTATAATTATTAACAAAAGTTTGTTCACACCAATGAGTATATAACTCTTCACTGAAATAAATTACTGAAAACAAAATGTAATAAAGATAATATTCTGTCTAGACAAAAAATTTAATAATTAATACACATGACCAACGATTATACAAACGAAGATAATGTGTTTTTATTAAATTTTTTCGTCAAAACAAAACCTCTTTATTACTTAACCTAAACACTATACGAATAGAAACAATATTTGTTTTACACTATATAACCCAATAAAATATAAGTTTATATTCTAGAGTTACACAAAGTAATATAAATAATTGTTTCAACTCGTAAAATTCATTAAGAGAAATTATTTCTTGCAATTATTGTTCTATCACTGTAAAACACATGTAAATTTAAAGTAAACATACATAAAATACTGTTTATTCTATGAAGACTGTAGACATAGAGTCCAAACTCTCTATATAAAAGTTGTACCAGAAATGTGAAACAATAACGCTAGAGGGCAGAGTGCGCTGAGGTCGCTAAGTTACCGAGGGGGAAATTCCCGCTATATTCAAATGCATAATTGAACCACGTTCGGTTGAAATTCATAATAATTAAAGTATACTCAAATTTTACATCAATATCAAACCAAAGAATACAGACCAAAATTAATTAATATGTAAAATTGAAATATTCGTAAAACCATTAGTGAAAAAAAAGGATTCTTCAAAAATTTTCCCAATGCCTCCTAAAGTAAATGATAGAGAAGTTCAGTCGGAATTAGACTCAATACTACAGAGTATCATTTTCATACAAAAAAAAAACAGAATCATCTGATAGCAGTTCGTTTCTACAAAAAAAATCGAAAATAGTTTCAATAGAATCAACTAGATTTAGTTTAACTACAAAGCCAGCATACTTCCGATGAGAGATTCATATTTATTAATTTTACACTACATGCTTGGATACGCAGACTTAGAATTAAGTTCGTTTGTTAACATTTATGCATACACCGAATAAAATTTATATAAAAATTGTATAATAGCAGAATATTAATAAACATTGAATTGTATAGGTCTATAATATAATTATTGATATCAAAACAAAATTAATCAGGCTGTCAAACAAATTTAGATCTTATATTCATGCAGTTTGAATAGAACAACTGGGATAAGAGTAACTTTAATTCCACTATCCACACTATATAATTTTTTTTTTATTGAAAAAGAGAAAGAAAATTGCAGTGTACTATAAAGATTTCTACTAAAGTAGTTCTTCTGCTACGACTGTTCGTATTATTGTCCAGTTGAATCTCTGATCATTCTCAGAGATGATACACCATTTTTAGATAATGCAACACACAAGTATTGTTTAATTGTAATAACAAACAGTTTATTTTATCGTATGATTGGTCCAGCATTTTGTAAAATGCCTAATAGTAATTGTAACGATAATATTTTAGATCTTAATTCATGTGATCTGAAAAATAAAAATGATAAATGAAAGATAAATTTGTTAATTTCATTATTTAGTTAAATGACTAAAAGCATTCTTACTTGGGATCAGATGTTCCATCTGGTAGAGGTTTCATAGATAATTTACAAAGAGCTCGAAATACATCTTTTTGAAGTACATGTATAAATTTAGCTGTTACCATACAGCTAAATACATCCTGAAGACTATATGGAGAAGCATGAAATACTAATTGACCGTAGTGTAAAATAGACTGACCAAAACCTTCTTCTTTGCCTGACGTATTGATCTTGTAAGCTATAATGCTTATACCATCTTAATTCTGTAGCAACTTGTGAAGCGGTATCTGGATCAGATTGATTAAGCACAATGTTAGCTGTTTGTATAAGAACTGAATGAGATGTATCTGAAATTAATATATCTAATGCTGTACGGATTTCACCAACTTTTAACCAACATCCAGCTTCTTTCAGAGTTTGTGTGCTATCATTTCCAATGCTTTTTTGTGTTAACTCACGACGTAAAGCTGCTTCTTGACTTGGTAAGTACTCTCTCCAAATACGTATTGCCTCAGACCACATACCAGCATTCTAAAAAAAGAAAGAAAATTTTTCACCAATTTCGTGACTTACACTCAATATTAATATGTATATTTTTCACAAACTTTTATTAAAAATATTTGACCGGCTTGATAACCTCAAATTATTGATATTACACTGTATTTTGATTACTATATTAAGCTATATATATATTACACTTAATATTCATATTTCTACAACGAAATGTTTCATTATGTTGAATAAAAATAGTATTTTCAATATAATGACACTTTTAAAATAAAAACAAAGTCTCTACTGTAATCACAAGAATACAAATAATAATAATAAATCGTCATGCCAATGACACACTAGCAATTCACACCTACAATACACAACTACCGTAATTAATAGAGAGAAATCACTGTTGGAAAATATAAAACATTACAGCACTCATTGCGTTGAAATATTAAACTAAATAAGATACCCCATATCCGGTACATAATTTTCCGGTAAAGAAGTCTTCTTATAAATTGTGTATAGATATAGTCCCAAACTCTTTTCTCAGTCCGACTATACTATAGTATGTACCTCTTTATTCAGTTTAACAAATTATTTCAATATACATATCTTTTAAAAATATGTATACAACTTACAATTTATAATCAAAGTGGTTTAAAAAGATATATCAGGTATACCACAATCAAATATACAATATTTCAGCTTCATGTAATCAATATACTTGTGATAAGTAAATAATATTATCGGTTCAGAAAACTACATTATCGACGGGAGTTAATATAATTGCTTATGTCAAGTCGACTATGTGCTACGGCACAGTAAATTTGTCCCTATCTGACGTTAAATTTTATTCTAGAGATTGATATAGAATATACTTGTAACCAAGTAACAAATATACTCTTTACATAAGTATGCTTTATACTTGCAGTAAGTATACGTTACAGAAATCATAAAAATTTTCTCAGTGTAGGATTGCACGAATTCTCATGAAGACTTATGGTCGATGCAGTAGGATGTACGATAATCAACGGTATTGTATTAAGTGATCATCTGAGGCATCCTGCGCGGAAAAACACGTGTAAATTGAAGGGTGTAAACATGTGTCCGTAAAACAAATGAAAGCGAATCAATGAGATTTATCAATATTAGTTTTAACGTGGCCATTATCGCAATAAGTTCGGAGGTAAGTGCACGAGAAATTTTTTTGAATTATTCAGTTTTTGTTGTGAATAATGCAATAATTAATATATAAAACTTTTTTTCAGATACAAAGATGGATCGAGGGATACAAAATATATACGGTAAGTTAATATTTTATTTTGTATATCATAACACCATCAAACACATCAGATTACATTTAACCCAAATTTTTTTTTTTCTATTCACAATCAACAATACTAATCATGTTGTTAAGCAATAAATGAGAATTATATTGATAAACAACTATTAATAGTTATTTATTATTATAATTTAAATTTGTCACTTAACAATACACGTCGTATTTTATGACTGTAAATAGAAAAAATAACATTTTGTTTCAAATGTAATCTGATGGGTTTGATGATTTTCATTTCACAGATTTGAGAAAAGTGATCCAAGAGGAGATGAGGGCTTCAGAGGCCCGGCTGCAAAACCTCCGGGCCCAGCTAGAATTTATTGATGAGCCGTTCCTGTTGGCTCCACCCCCGCCTCCTCCACCGCTGCCGCCAACACCACCAGCGCCATCACCAATGCCGCCAGCAACGGCACCACCGATGCCGTCGGCACCAGCACCACCGATACCGCCAGCACCGGCACGTCGCCATCAAAATGGCGGGCGAAAGCGAAACCAATGGTTTCAGCAACGGCGAAATTCCGGTCCACCGAGGAATAATGCCGAGCAGCGCGGCCGCGGCCACGGTCGTGGAAGAGGGCGAAGCTCGGGATCGTCTACAAATAAATATTTTTATTTTTTATAATTATAAAAAAATTATAATGATTAATAATAAATAGTAAATTAAACTAATAACTGTATTTTTTCATATTTTTTATTTTATTAAATTAACAATTAATTACAAGTATATAAAGTCACTCAAACAATAAAAAGAAAAAAAATTGCTTACGACTGGGATCGAACCCTGGTCAGCAAAATAAAAAATCGTTGCTCTAACCACCGAGCTATTATGATTACAATACGTCAATATATGCTTGTAAATTATAACCTGCAGGCTTGGGTACAGAGAGTGGGGGTAGAGCTTGCCGGCGTAGTGCCGGAATTCGCCGCGGATTGTTTAAACTATTTTTTATTGTAAATAAGTTGTTAAAAAAAAGTCTATTATCAATGTATTTGTACAAAAAAAGGTTCATGGCCCTGTTCAAATATTTTCTCATTAGTCATTGATTAATTGAAAAATAGTTTTACATAAAAATTGAAATTTAAAACTCATTTTTAGCATGATAAAGTTGCAATTACATGCAATTCAAATAAAAAAAAAATTTTGCCGCAATTGGAATCGAACACCGTCCGGTAAAATAAATGTCTAACCTTCTGACTATAGAGCCAGCATATTTCCATTTGCTTTGTTTACGTTTAGATATCATAAGCTTCAGGCTTGGTAACAGAGGGTGGGGGATGTGCTTGTATTGCTTGTCAACTGTTCGAACTCGCAGTCTTCTCTGAAAAATGAGACGGAGAACGATAGATATATTCTGTACTTTGTCTTGCTCGGAACAGATTATTCTGAGATTTGTAAATTTCTTGGTGCCCTAAGGCTCCCTTTTTGTAATGCATCCCTGGAAATTATCATTTTTCAAACAATTTCCCTGTTACCTACTCAATTTCAATTGATATCGAGCTTCGGCTTTTCGCCGCACAACGCGAGGGCGTAAAGTTAACCTCGGGAAACTTTCTGACTGCAGCCCAGCCTTAAGAACTGTCTTCCAGTATTTTTTTCAGTCGATAACATAAATTATCATTTACCATTAGATAAAGTACACGGAATTTCATAATTATTCCGTGCGATGTCGACACTATATTTATCACGTGATTAAATGAAATGTGACATGTTAGGTTAATGTTCTTGGTTTGTTTAAGTATTACAACAATAATAGAAAATAAATTAAAGTTTATTATTAACAAAAGTGATTTTAAGAGTTTTAGAATGAGTAAAGGGAAAGAAAATAGGAATAAAAGTGATAAAAAATGGATGAGTGGCGGTTTTTCTTATTATAAAGTAAATGAATATGAAAGAAACGATGGTGTTGTTACGACGTAAGTGAATTATTCAATTCATTTCAATGTGATTGTAACAATAATTAACTTTAATTAATTTTCCTTTTTTTTTTTTACTTTTAAACAATTTTCGTTTTCTCTTTGTATTCGAATATACAAATATCAACATATTCCTTTACATTTTAAATTAAATAACTTCCACTGCTATGAAATATTGTATATTTCAGAAATGATTTTCAATTCAATATTATTTATTTTATATAAAATTATTTTATATTTTTACAAACATTTCGCTTGTATCAAGGAGCACAATAAAAATTTCAACTGCCCAGCAACCGGGCACTTTATTAATAACATTTATTATACAAAAGTGAAAAAACATACAAACGAACCAGATCCGTTGTTAATACAGAGACGAGCAACCTATAAACGTGCGAAAGATTTGAGTGTAATACGTGGAATCAATGCAGGCCAAAATTATACTACATCTTTCTTAATAGAGTAAGTATTATATTTGGAGTTTTGGTTAATCGAATGAAGTAAGAATAATTCGAATCTGATTTTTTACACTTTGTATTATAGAAATAGTAAAATTGCTGAAGTTACACCACCGTGCAAAGTGCGTAGAACACTACAAAAGAAGCTTAATATTAATATTAAGTGTAATATATATATAGCTTAATATAGTAATCAAAATACAGTGTAATATCAATAATTTGAGGTTATCAAGCCGGTCAAATATTTTTAATAAAAGTTTGTGAAAAATATACATATTAATATTGAGTGTAAGTCACGAAATTGGTGAAAAATTTTCTTTTTTTTTTTAGAATGCTGGTATGTGGTCTGAGGCAATACGTATTTGGAGAGAGTACTTACCAAGTCAAGAAGCAGCTTTACGTCGTGAGTTAACACAAAAAAGCATTGGAAATGATAGCACACAAACTCTGAAAGAAGCTGGATGTTGGTTAAAAGTTGGTGAAATCCGTACAGCATTAGATATATTAATTTCAGATACATCTCATTCAGTTCTTATACAAACAGCTAACATTGTGCTTAATCAATCTGATCCAGATACCGCTTCACAAGTTGCTACAGAATTAAGATGGTATAAGCATTATAGCTTACAAGATCAATACGTCAGGCAAAGAAGAAGGTTTTGGTCAGTCTATTTTACACTACGGTCAATTAGTATTTCATGCTTCTCCATATAGTCTTCAGGATGTATTTAGCTGTATGGTAACAGCTAAATTTATACATGTACTTCAAAAAGATGTATTTCGAGCTCTTTGTAAATTATCTATGAAACCTCTACCAGATGGAACATCTGATCCCAAGTAAGAATGCTTTTAGTCATTTAACTAAATAATGAAATTAACAAATTTATCTTTCATTTATCATTTTTATTTTTCAGATCACATGAATTAAGATCTAAAATATTATCGTTACAATTACTATTAGGCATTTTACAAAATGCTGGACCAATCATACGATAAAATAAACTGTTTGTTATTACAATTAAACAATACTTGTGTGTTGCATTATCTAAAAATGGTGTATCATCTCTGAGAATGATCAGAGATTCAACTGGACAATAATACGAACAGTCGTAGCAGAAGAACTACTTTAGTAGAAATCTTTATAGTACACTGCAATTTTCTTTCTCTTTTTCAATAAAAAAAAAATTATATAGTGTGGATAGTGGAATTAAAGTTACTCTTATCCCAGTTGTTCTATTCAAACTGCATGAATATAAGATCTAAATTTGTTTGACAGCCTGATTAATTTTGTTTTGATATCAATAATTATATTATAGACCTATACAATTCAATGTTTATTAATATTCTGCTATTATACAATTTTTATATAAATTTTATTCGGTGTATGCATAAATGTTAACAAACGAACGATTAGATAAAACAGCGATTGGAGATTTCTTAGGATATCACAATCATAATCAAGTTATGAATAATTATTAATGTAGTTAACTACATTGATCAAATGGATTTTGCTAATAGAGATTTAGTTACAGTATTTAATACAAAATTACTTATTGAAACAAATCGATAAATTAGATTTAGAAATAAATTTAGTATCATCAAAGAGAAAAAATTGTATAATTATGATAGGAAATGATAAGCAAAACGATAGAAAATCCTTAAAAAAAGCAATAAATATATTTAAATATTCCATAAAAATTGTAACTTGTTATTCAAACAATTCTTTATGATTTACATCACGGTTTGTACAAAATTTTTTATATAAAATATATGCTTATTAAAAGAATTCTACTCAAAACTGAAATATAAATGAAAATAAAAAAGAATAACAATTAACATTTTATAATTTAAAGGTCTACAATTTAATGAAATCATCAAAAAATGTTTTTCTGTTTATATTATATTGCACTTTATATTATACACATATTTTTATTAACCATGTTTACTGCGTGAAATCAAAATTGATATTATTTTGTAAAAAGCATACTTATATAATAATTATCATTTACATTTTTTATGAATTACTTTCTTTTTAATCATTTGTATACATAATTATTTTATTATTTACACAGGAAAATTGAATAAATTTAGTTGATATTATTTATATTTTTTAATTATACATGAATACAAATTATTATTCATACTCCGTATAAATTTTTAAATTAATATTATATTATTATTCTTTTTTTTATCATTATTAACGTAAAAAGGACATAAACCGTTCATTCGCTCATGTAGATATTGGGAGTATACCTATATATATATCGGGGAAAAATTGTGGCCACGAGAGAGAGGTCCGCGTTAGATGGCATTTAAGTAAGACGGACAAAGAAGACGCTAGAAATCGAACTGAAATGTGCGGAAAACGGAATTAGGGGCGTGGCCTATTCTGTATCTCGATAAATACTCAATAAATGAAATTGATTTTGGAATTAAATGAAAGCCAATGACTATAATTGATCGTATATTAAAAATGATCTCGTAATATTACTTAGTTATCGAGATATTTACAATTAAAGATTGTGTTGTGACGTCACGCGCGAACTTTTCAGTATAGAGTAGCGTGTTACTCGGCACAGTAATTGGGAGCCGCGAGAGCGCGCTAGTTGGACGAAGGGTAATAGTTGGGTAAGGGGCAAAAGTGCAGGTGACATGGCGCCGAGTATCTACCGCTACTCTAGATTACAAAGTAATGCTGTAATCGAATTTAATGTATACTTTAGAGTCATACTCTTCAATATAGATTCTGTTGATCACAAGCAAATTTCATGAACAACTTTAATGAATACTCCAGCGAATAAATCAAAAATATACATTCGATCAATTCCGAGCATTTACTTTGGACAGATTCCATGAATGCTTGTGAGACTCACTCAAAAGGATACATTTAATTTATAACAAAGTAATGCTGTAATCGAATTGAATGTATTCTTTGAGTCTGACTCTAAAATATAGATTCTGTTGATCACAAGCAAATGTCATGAACAACTTCAATAAATACTGTAGAGAATAACTCCAAAATATACATTTGATGAATTCCGTCCATTTACTTTGGCCAGATTCCATGACTGATTTGGAGACCCATCTAAAAGTATACATTTCATACATTACAAGCAAATACTATGGCCAGATTCCATGAATGCTTCGGAGACTTACTCGAAAGTATACATTTGATTAATTTCGAGCAAATACTATGGCAAGATTCCATGAATACTCTTGAGACTGACTTCAAAATATACATGAAATACATCTCAAGCAAATGATGCAATCAAATTCCATTAATACGCTGAAGACTTATCTGTTATGTTAAATTAGTTTATCACAATAGAATTTACAATCAATTTTAATAAAAACTCTAGAGAATAACTTGGAAATAAACATTTGATCGTTTCCAAGCGAATATGATTGTCAGTTTAAACGACTACTTTGGAGACTCATCAAAAAGCATAAATTTGATACATTACAAACAAATGCTGTTATCAGATTCAATGTATACTTTGGAGTCTGACTCTAAAAGATAGATTCTGTTGATCACAAGCAAATTTCATGAACAACTTTAATGAATACTTCAGCGAATAAATCAAAAATATACATTCGATCAATTCCGAGCATTTACTTTAGCCAGATTCCATGAATGCTTCGGACACTCATCTTAAAGTATACATTTGATACATAAAAAACAAATGCTGTAATCGAATTCAATGTATACTTTGAAGTCTAAATCCAAAATATAGATTCTGTTGATCACAAGCAAATGTCATGAACAGCTTTAATGAATACCCTAGAGAATAAATCGAAAATATACATTCGATGAATTCCGTGCATTCACTTTGGCCGGATTCCATGAATGCTTTGAAGACCCATCGCGAACTTTACATTTGATACATTACAAGCAAATACTATGGCAAGATTCCATAAATACTCTTAAGACTGACTTCAAAATATACATTAAATACATGTCAAGCATATGATGCAATCAAATTCCATAAATACGTTTAAGACTTACTCTATTATGTTGAATTAGTTTATCACAGTAGAATTTACAATCAATTATAATAAATACTCTAGAGAATAACTTGGAAATAAACATTTGATCGTTTTCAAGCGAACATTATTGTCAGTTTAAATGAATACTGGGGAGACTCATCAATAAGTATAAATTTGGTACACTACAAACAAATGCTGTAATCGAATTCAATGTATAGTATAATAATATTCATTAAAGTTGTTCATGACATTTGCTTGTGATCAACAGAATCTCTATTTTCGATTCAGACTTCAAAGTATACATTGAATTCGATTACAGCATTTGTTTTTAATGTATCAAATGTATACTTTGAGATGAGTCTCCAAAGCATTCATGGCATCTGGCCATAGTATTTGCTCGAAATAGATCCAACGTATATTTTCGAGTTATTCTCTAGAGTATTCCTTAAAGTTGTTCACGACATTTGCTTGTGATCAACAGAATCTATCTTTTAGAGTCAGACTCCATACTATACATTGAATTCGATTACAGTATTTGTTTGTAATGCATCAAATTTATACTTATTGATGAGTCTTCAAAGTATTCATTTAAACTGAAAATAATATTCGCTTGAAAACGATCAAATGTTTATTTCCAAGTTATTCTCTAGAGTTTTCATTGAAATTGATTGTAAATTCTATTGTGATAAACTAATTCAACATAACAGATAAGTCTTCAGCGTATTAATGGAATTTGATTGCATCATTTGCTTGAGATGTATTTCATGTATATTTTGAAGTCAGTCTCAAGAGTATTCATGGAATCATGCCATAGTATTTGCTCAAAATTAATCAAATGTATACTTTCGAGTAAGTCTCCGAAGCATTCATGGAATCTGGCCATAGTACTTGCTTGTAATGTATTAAATGTATAATTTGCGATGGGTCTCTAAAGCATTCATGGAATCTGGCCAAAGTAAATGCACGGAATTGATCGAGTGTATATTTTTGATATATTCTTTAGAGTATTTATTAAAGTTGTTCATGAAATTTGCTTGTGATCAACAGAATCTATCTTTTAGAGTCAGACTCTAAAGTATACATTGAATTCGATTACAGCATTACTTTGTTATAAATTAAATGTATCCTTTTGAGTGAGTCTCACAAGCATTTATAGAATCTGGCCAAAGTAAATGCACGGAATTCATCGAATGTATATTTTTGATTTATTCTCTAGAGTATTTATTAAAGTTGTTCATGACATTTGCTTGTGATCAACAAAATCTATATTTTAGATTCAGACTTTAAAGTATACATTGAATTCGATTACAGCATTTGTTTTTAATAAGTCAAAAATATACATTCGATAAATTCCGAGCGTTTACTTTGGACAGATTCTATGAATGCTTTGGAGACTCATCTCAAAGTATACATTTGATACATTAAAAACAAATGCTGTTATCAGATTAAATGTATACTTTGGAGACTAATACTAAAAGATAGATTCTATTCATCCAAAGCAAATGTCATGAACAACTTTAATGAATAATCTAGAGAATAAGTCAAAAATATACATTCGATGAATTCCGAGCATTTACTTTGGCCAGATTCTATAAATGCTTGTGAGACTCACTCAAAAGGATACATTTAATTGATAACAAAGTAATGCTGTAATCGTATTTAATGTATACTTTGGAGACTAACACTAAAAGATAGATTCTATTGATCCCAAGCAAATGTCATGAACAACTTTAATGAATACTCTAGAGAATAAGTCGAAAATATACATTCGATGAATTCCGTGCATTTACTTTGGCCAGATTCCATGAATGCTTCGGAGACTTACTCGAAAGTATACATTTAATTAATTCCAAACAAATACTATGGCGAGATTCCATGAATGCTTCGGAGACTTACTCGAAAGTATACATTTAATTAATTCCGAGCAAATACTATGGCAAGATTCCATGAATGCTTCGGAGACTCACTCGAAAGTATACATTTGATTAATTTCGAGCAAATACTATGGCAAGATTCCATGAATACTCTTGAGACTAACTTCAAAATATACAGTGAATACATCTCAAGCAAATGATGCAATTAAATTCCATTAATACGCTGAAGACTTACTCTGTTATGTTGAATTAGTTTATCACAGTAGAATTTACAATCAATTTTAATAAAAACTCTAGAGAATAACTTGGAAATAAACATTTGATCGTTTCCAAGCGAATATGATTGTCAGTTTGAACGACTCCTTTGGAGACTCATCAAAAAGTATAAATTTGATACATTACAAACAAATGCTGTTATCAGATTCAATGTACACTTTGGAGTCTAACTCTAAAGGAAAGATTCTGTTGATCCCAAGCAAATGTCATGAACAACTTTAATGAATACTCTCGAGAATAAGTCAAAAATATACATTCGATCAATTCCGAGCATTTACTTTGGACAGATTCCATGAATGCTTGTGAGACTCACTCAAAAGGATACATTTAATTTATAACAAAGTAATGCTGTAATCGAATTCAATGTATACTTTAGAGTCTGACTCTAAAAGATAGATTCTGTTGATCACAAGCAAATTTCATGAACAACTTTAATAAATACTCTAAAGAATATATCAAAAATATACACTCGATCAATTCCGTGCAT